ACTCTGATCAGCAGCCCAAAAGGTCCCAGCTTTGTCAATCTGACTGAGCTGCTGGACAACCCCCAAGGTTTCTAAGGCACTTTTGGAGAGCAGCCACAGGACACATACAATCAGCCATGTGTGTGCAAATTATATCAGGCAGACTGTGTACACCCTGAACAGTTGCTTGTCCTCCAGCATCCCGGCACCATGAAGAGTTGCCTAGATTTGCCATTTGAGCATGGTATCAATGGTAAAATGTGCCCCCAAATCACTGGATTGATTGTGGGTCAGGCACGACAGTGTGTTATATGTATTTCTCACTGGAAATACAAGATCATTGCTACTTTACTAACAGTGAAAAGGAGGAATATGTGAAAGTTAGAGTCATCTGATTACTCAATTCCTTCCTCTCAGACCTGAGACAAGCGGATAGGTGTCTTGCTATTGTAGTTTCCACATGCAGTGCTTGTTCTTGAGTAGCCAGTGAAGTGCTCCACCTGACCAAACATCTGTGCTTCCTCCACTGCTGCTAGGAGCTGAGGGCTGGTCACAGGTCCCTGTGCAGACTCTGCTGCACTCACCACCTCCAGGGGAGCAGGGAACCAGGGCAGGTAACTCTGACTCATTTGTTGCAAATCCCTTAGGGTCCCCCTTGCCCTTTGAAAAAGAAAAACTTCTCCACCACCAGGTGTCCTGCCTTCCTAGATAGTTATAGGCTTCTTGGGTCTAAAACATGGCCTTCTGAAGTTGGTAGGGGTGTACTGCTGTTTTCAATGGGGTTTGGAACAGGACCACTGGAGGACTGGAAGAAACCTAAGCCATAAAACTAAGAAGGTGTTTGTTGTGCAGGCTAGCAGTGGCCCTTTTTGGTCCCTTTGGTCTTCCTGATGAACAAAGGGTGGACAAGATGTATTAAAACTGTAACATAACTTTAGTTATTCTCTGAATTTTTCCTTCCTTTGTTTTCTTCTCTCACTGTATCTTTTTGTTATTGTGTATTCCCTTGATCCTCCAAGTGCAACAGAACAATATGTAAAACTCCAACAAAAACAAAGAAGAAAAAAAAAGAAATCCCACACTGAGTGCATTAATATGGTAAAAGAAGTTGTACTTATGCATGAAGTTGGCCTGTGAAGAAGAATGCTGCCTTATAAGAGTGAGAAAATACATTTTAAGATGTCCCTTTCTCACTCTCCAGATTTGTATTCTCTACCTACATGTGCAGAAAAGTTTAGAACAAATGTCTACATTTGAAGACAGCTGGCTAAAGCTTCCAGAGATGAACATCTTACAAATGAGACCTATTTACATATGAAAAAAGAAATACTGACAGTTACCACCCTGCACTAAATTCAAACTCTGAGTTCAGCACAACTTAAACCATTAGAAAGTCTGATTTGAGAGGAATTAAAAGCTTGATCTAAAGCATACTGAAATGGATAACAAGGCCTATATCCACTGCAACGGACTTTCAATTAGGTCCAGTTGGAATCTGATTCCAGAAAACAGATTTTTCTTTCCATGGTCCACTGCAGCTGTCTGTAGCTGCAGCTGTGCAACACTCCAGACTTGTGTCTTACAGAAATCTACATAAATCTCCAATTTAAATATATCTTGTTCTCAGTTCCCACCTTGTATCCTAGATCACATTCAATGCACAACAAACATCTTCCAGGACTTGCGAGCTTCGCAACATCATGAAAAATTTAGTTTGGGTTCCAGAAGACCATTCTCTGAATTAGACAAATTCATTCTGTGTCCCCCTACATAAGGAAGCGTACCAAATTTTTAATAGTAAATACCTGACATATCACTGAGTGCATACACACTGTCTCCTCTAAGTAAATTCTAAACTTCTCAAGTTTATTGGGATTCTTCATCCCCATCTATAATGACTAGCTTCACCTCAATTCAGGCTGTTCAACTCATGCTACCTCCAAATTTCCCCCTTCTCTCAGAACCTACTTCCTACTGTGCTTCTGCAATAAATCCTCCCACCAACCCTTCCTCCCTGAACTCCCACTGCAGTTTCTCTGCAAGTAGTCAGATGAGTTTATTCACATCTTAGCAGCCTTCCCCTTGGTTTGTGTACGTTAACGAAGAGCCTGCAGCAGCAGGTTGGCACTAACCCAGCTGAGCTCCTCTTCACCACTTCCAGTAACTGCTGCCAAGTTGCACAAGCGAAGTAGCAACACTTGCGAGTTGTGCTAGCTACAAGAAGAAACGGGAAGTCTTTGAGCAAATTTGATTTGGAGTTTAGCCTGTGGGGAGGGAGTATTTTGTTTTATGAACAGTTGTATGGTTCTGAGATTCAATCTTCATGAGGAGAAAACCTGAACCATCATATTCCTAAGTGAAAGAGATCTATTCACGCTAACATCAGGCCTCCCTGTAGATGTGCAACTCCCTCGGAGAGGTGTTTCAAGGCTCAGTCCTGCTCAGAGGGGAAGGCTAAATCATGGACAATAGATCATAATCCTCCTTTCTCTCTGGACTGGTAAAACTTACTTGATTATATAATGTGCTTGACTAACAATTTGGGGTTTAGGAGGTTCTTCTACAGTGTAGGAGATTTAGATTCTTTGCTTTGGCTGATTCAGACAGAAAGTCTCCTATTTGAATTGTTCATGAACTTCTGGGCCCTAATGATTTCACTTTTCTCTTTAAATAAGAATGACCAGCCAGATTGTTTTAGTCTCTTAAACTGGGTGGCTAACACTGAACAAGAACAAAGCAAGTCATCCTTAAGGAGAGAACTTACACTTCTATTTTGATAAGCAAACCCACATATTTGTGCAAACAGTCATTCCCAAACTATACATGCAAAATAAAATTGCTCACCCAAGCTAGTACTAACAGTGAATGAACAATACAGAGCACACTGGTCAAGTGCTGAATATGGGACTGTGTGAAGTTGTCATCATCTGTCCTGGGAGAAAGCTGATGGAGCTACCTAGAGAGTAACTCAGAGATACAGCCTAAGCACCCCATTTTGCAGTACAACCTCAGCTTTACTTATGACGTTATCTTCTAAAACCTAGCAGTAATCTGTAACCCAGGTAATTAAGCCTGCCTGAGACCAAATGTATTTTTGCTTTTCCTGGTTCTGCCGCATGCTTCACTTGTTATAGCCCATTTTAACAAACCCATTCGGCTGCATTTAGTCTTTTGAGATGTCAGATTGATTTTTATTCTGGCTACCAGACATTGCTCAAGATTATACATTATGGACAGTACCTCACTGTCATCTAAGCCACTGCTGTAGTGATGGCTATTTTGTAATGTAAAAGCCCAGCTGTCTGCTGATACGTGATAAGTACTAAAAATGGTACATTGCAATCAAAGCTACTGTAGCATTATAGCCAAAAGAGGATTACAAATGGGATGGCTGCTGTAAGGAAAGGCTATATACAGTTGCACATATGCACTCCAGTGATTCTTATCATGGGAGGGGAGAATGGCATTTTCACTTTTAAGAAATACTTTTCTCCAGGGTGTACTGCTGCTACCACGCTGCCAATTACTGCTTCCCGGCAATGAACAGAGACGGTATGCTCGTAGGCCATGACATTTGATTAACGACTCTAATACAGAGTCACCTGAGGAAGAAGCAGTGTCATTAACATGAGCAAAAAGGAATCAATAGCTTTAGCATTGTCTCTCCACTTTATTTTGTGGGAAAGCAAGGGAAGGAAGTGAAATAAAATAGAAAGGAATTAGAGCAGGAGAATAATGATCATAGCTGTCTTTAGATAGCTCCCCAGAGAGGAGGCAATTGGCAGCTTTTGCTTGGATGGGGCTGTTCCCTTCCCCTGTGTAATAGCCTCCATCAGGTTATATATCACTGAAGTAGACTGAATCCCTGCAGAGAGGAAGATGACACCCGCAGGCAAACCTAGCGACATCTGAACAGAAACATTTGTAGCCTCACAACTTGAACCTCAGACAAGTCCCTAAATGCTATTCTACTCATGGGAGACATTGAGAATATCATGATGGTCTTGGAGGGGCTGGGGCTGATGTACAGCCCTGCTTCTAGCTCGTGACCTAATCTTTTTTGTAGTTCACCAACAACTTTAATGATGCAACAAGCTGGAGAAGTAAACAGGAGAAAGAGATTTGTCAGCATCTTTATGTAGCAGGCTCTTTATGTAAGAAACAGGCAAGTACAAATGCAGAAATTTGATTTAGCAACTGAGTTTACCAAATACAGTCCAGAAGGCACAATTTTACCAACACATTTTCATCCAACTTCTGATGAAGCCAAACAGGAAACAGACAAAAGGAAGTACTTAAGTCCAAAATGGCTCTGCAAAATTACCGAAAAGCTATTTTGTTTTTTTCTCCAGTATTCTTACATTCATTATGGAATACAGTTTACACAGATCCTGGGATCAATGTAGCCCACCTGATTCACTATAGTTTCTTATTTTCTGCAAGATATGAGAAGCTTGTGTGAGGTTTACAGCCTGAGACATGGCAGATTCCTGAGGGCCAAGCTTTTCTGTCTAAGATTTGTTTATTTGTTGCTATAAATATTACAAGTCTTCTATTTAAAAACAGACCTTCTACCTGAACATGCTGTGCTTTTTCCCCCCAAATTGCTTATCATTTCAGAAAGTAAATTACCAAGGAAGATGAGGGAAGGTCATGGAATTGTTGTTTAATTCTCAGGTTTTTACTTTCACAGTTCCATTCCATTGACAAATCATGGATAACAAATCCAACATCAGCCTAAACATTTCATGCTTCCCAAATAGAAAAATACCACATACAATCCTTAAAGGGAATATAAAAGACAGAGGAGCCTCACAAAAAGCCTTAATAACAACAATAGAAAACGTAACCAACGTCAAGGAGTTGAATTGAGAAAGAAAAATTCTTCAAATGAGTGTGACCCAGATACCATAACAGAAATGAACCCAGACCAAAACTCAAGGTTTGCACTTTTGCCCTCCTGGCTTGCATGGAAGGTTTGAAAAAGGTAGCTCTAAGACAACCAAGATTTAGGACCATACCTCATGAGAGCAACAATCAATCTTTCTCCTCCCTGAACACTACCCGAGGACTTGCTCATCAAGGCATTCATATCATCCCCTTCCTCCACATTCATGTCCTGGTTGTACACAGTTCTAGAGACTGGAAAAGGAAAAATATGATGGCACAATTTGATTGTGACAATATGATCTTCTTGGAAATATGTGCAATAAAATCATAGATTACAAAACAAATGTCAGATGGTTATGGTGACACAAGGGCATTTAAGAAGTAGCTCCAACTGCCAAATTCCTCTTATTGCCTTCCAAATAAAAATTAATTGAAGAAAAAACAGGCAAAAAAGAATCATAAGGTCTGTAGTCTGGTTATGAAATATATTTGGGGGCAAGAAGAATTTAAGGACAGAGTTGTAGCACTGACCTGAGTTCAAAAGAAAATAAAGTGAGGGAAGCAGAGCAGCATTAAAACCTCTCTTGGTGAAGCTCTTCAAAACAGAATCACTCAATGCCAGGAACCAGAATTGAGGCAGGGAAGCTGGTGGGAAGCCCTGCCAGGGTACTCACAGACCTCGTTAATGGTAGGGGGATCAGGCACTGGATGCACTATTATTTGGGGAATTATAAATTATCCTTTATTTTGAAGATAAACATGCTACAGACAGATCTTCTAAATTAGGCAGTCACAAACACATGCACAGAAAATATTCTAGAAGGATGACAGCAGGGAGAACTCTGAAGTGCAAGGATCTGATCTTCCCCACTACATCATCCCATATGACTATGTTGGACATGATCCTTGGTGAAGTATCTCTATTACTTTGCAACTCCCATTAAACTGTACAAAAGATAACAGTTTTATTCTTTTATTGGTGCCCCTTTGCAGAAAAAAATGTGTAATTAACTTGAACTGCAGGATCTTCTTGTAAGCAACACAATGCACATCTCACCTCACTTTCCCATGGATGTAGAGTGATGAGGGGGATCTCAGAGACAAGCCATCCACCAGAATACCATAATAATAGGAATTTTGGAAAATGTCACAGACTATCCAGAACATCCAGGAAGAAAAAAATATTTTTGCCTTGGTTTGTTTTATCAAGTGATGTGTTTATATCCAAGAGCTATAGCGGTGTAGCTCTCCGTGTGTGCTAACAGTGAGGTGGTCCTCTCAGGCATTCAGACAGCGCATTGAGATTTTAACTGTCAAGGAAAAATACTTCTCATGCTACATAATGCATCAAAGATTTGGTGCACTTTTTATTTCACTCTAGGAAGACATAGTGGGATATTTTTTTTTCAAAGCAGACACAAGCACTGAGGTTAATGGTCGATCTGTAAATAGACCCTGTAAATATTCACAATATTTAGCCCTTTAAAATGACATCCAGCTAATGATATGTTCAGAGGCATGAAGTTAATTGTTTTCACTAAACAGAAATGCAGAAACTGCCATTATTTCCTGCAAATGGCTTTTATATTTCAGCTATCAAACCCAGTGTCAAATAGCCTATGATTTATGTCAGACACACTGACATTCACCTCAATGCTCTCCTCCCACAAAATAAAGACCCTGGACAGGAGGAGAAAGTAACCAGAAAGGATACGTACAGCTGCCTTCCTGCCCTTGACAGCACCATACAGGTAACAGCCCTTGTCAAAAAGTGTTTGCAGTTATTGGGTAATGGAAAAAAAATTGGCCAGAACTAAACTTATTTCTCCAATTCTCCAACTATACTGTCTCATTCAAAAACTTCAAAGCCAGAGATTTTGTCTCATTTACCCTTTTTCCATTTTATGTGAGAGAAAATTCATGAGGCTCATGAGACTTTAATAATAAGTTAATTAAGATGAAAAATAAGACTGAAAACTTTGCAGACTCAGTCCAGATTGTCCTTCTATCTTCAGTTTATCTAACCATCTTTGTCCAAGGAGCTGAACTAACATTTTTCTGGGATCAGTTATTTCACTGTTTGGGTCAAAAGACACAGCAATTACTGTTTCATTGTTTCCCTTCTTCCTCCTCTATTCACTTAAGGCTCAATACAGACTTATAACTCTGGAACAACAAAAAACAAACCAAAATTGATTCAATGTTTTTTGAACCTAAAAGACTGAAGTATCATATAACTTCAAAGCTGATTCTTGTTGAATCAGGATAAACCTACAGCCCTCAAAGCTGGAGTAAAATACCAAACACACTGAAGTTGAGGTGTTTATAGAGTCGGATTAAGCAGGCTCAGCCTCCATACAAGATCCTGAACCTTATATATCCATTAGGGCAGGTTGGAGGCCTTCAGATCTAACAGAAGCTTGTTAGGCAGAGAGGTGACCGAGTTCTAACGTAAAGTGAAAAAAATTATGGTCAGTGGCAAAACAAAAACAAACATAAAAACTCCAAAGCACTGCTTTGTAAAACACTCAGAACTAGTTAGTTGTGTGAAGAAAGAGTAAGCTTTTCAATCCAAGCTGGACATCAGGAATCTGGGCTCTATTCAGTCAAAAGACAAAAACCTGAGGCACAAAATTGCTTTCCTTAAAGAAACCTTATGCATTCATGATTAAGACATGGTGAACACCATTCCTAAGAGAAATCGCTACTGTTTAAAACCATGTGAAGCTGAATGTTCTGTGAAACTCAGTTATCAAATTTCTCCCTCCTGATCTTTATGCTGACATCTTTCTCCTGGCCCTCCCTGTCTTCCTACTAAAAATATTTAAAGCCAGTGTAAATTCTGGGCTGTAAGACATCTAATTTTATCTTAACTAGATAGCCCATCTCAGAATATGTTTAAAATAACCTAATAACTAAATTACAGTAATAGTCATTTGGAAGTCACAACATGCCAACAGTCATTACACAGAAGGCCTTGATACTGTACATTTTTCTCATTTTAAGAGACACAGGAAATAACTGGCTCTGTCTAGTGTGGGCTGAGATATGCTAGACATCTAGTGTCAACAACTTTAATTATGTTTCAGAGCTCATTAAACCCATAAGGTACCTATTATCTGACTAGTTGTTCCTTTGGCATCTGTGAAGATCTGACTCCCAACTTTACATTGACAAATCTTTAGCAAACTTTGCTAAAGTTCTATCAATATAAAGTTGTATTTAGGTCTTCACAGCACTTTTTTTGCTACAGTAATATAACTTGGATGTCTCCCACTCACTCCTGTTGTCACATTTGTACCAATGGGCAAGAAATACCAGCCCTTGCGGGGGTATGAGAAAAGCTTGTTATTGGTTGTGTTTCACTCCCTTTGTACATAGCTTAAATACAGCCTACCTATCGTGACAAGTCAACAAATCTAGCTCAACCTCCTGGCCTTGGCCCAGTGATCACTGCAGAACTGGATTAATCAGGTTAAATTTAGATACAACTTTCTCACCTCATGCTATTTTATTAACTTTGCCTTTGCTGAAGTCTGCCATCCCTATATAGGAGACAGAAAATGTGAGCATCCTTCTTCAACCCCAATGCCAGGCTTGTTTGAAACTACCACAGAAAGCTGTATTTTTCCACATTAAATGAGTATGGACCCAGAAAACAAAACAAAACAAAAAAACAAAACAAAACAAAAAAAAACCCAAAACAAAACAAAAAACAAAACAGAAAACAACCAACCCTTTCCCAAAAAAAACAATGACTTTGGATCACCCTATCCACATTTACTGCGTATTTGTTTTGAAAATATTCCAAAAGGGACATGGTTACTTATGCCAGTGTTGCCAAATGCTTAATTACACAAATGCTTCCATCTGGAGGAAGGAAAGATTTAGAGGCTGTTTAGCCAAAACAAATTATATTTTAACTCTGAGATATGAATGCATGTGCCTGGGAGGTCTCAGCTGGAGAGTCTGATCAGCTTTTCAAATGTGGGAGTTCCTACAGCTTCTGAAGCTGACTGATGAGTTGACTGCAGAAGCAATTCCCAGAAACAGTGGGCCAAACCTTCCCCAGGTCGTTCCCTCTCAAATGTGGCTGGATTCCTGACACGAGAGCTCCCACCCCTTTGCATGGGGCAGTAATGCTCTCCAAGGGGTTCTGGGCTCACAAATAGAAAACATTTTCATCTTCACAACTGGTCATCAGTATGTAGTGCATAATATTTTAAAGAACATCTATATTTTAGACAGTGTTGCACTCTATACAGACAAAAATCATTTGCAGTAACGTTTTGACATCTATTATGTAGACAGAATGCTTCTTAGTTTAGATATTTCTAACAGCAAGTTTAGGCAAAATGCTAAGCATTTCTTCTGAAATATTTCAAACCAAGTTTGAGAGTTCACAGAACTAAAAATATCTGTTGCAGAATGTTACAACATTTAGGCATCAGGCATATTGCAACTAACCATATATATTTTTGATGCAAAGTAGACTTGAACAAGATAAAAGATTGCCAACACCATCTTCCTCTCAAAACTAGTATACAATGGAGAAGCATTACACTTCCCATTGTACATGTAGAGAAGTCAAGGCATGAATACATACACGACATGAGATGTACAGTATATGCCAGTAGAAGATTAAAAACCAGAATACAGATTTCCTGATAAACATTTCTGTGACATTCAGTGTAACAAACCAACCAACCAGCACCCCCCCACTCAGGAGTGTGCATGTAGTTAGAGATCAGATTAAATAATTTGTAGCTGGTATAAATCCATATCCTTGAAATGAGGAACATCAGTTTGTCCATCAGATCCCTCATCTGAATTACGCTGTTTTTAGGGGCAGTACTGGAAAGATGACCCCCAGGTTGATATCTCCAGCTGAGGATCCAACCAGCACATGTGCTTCAGTGGCAGAGAAACAGAGCCAGAAGAGAGGAAGAGAGTCGGTGAATACAAATGCTACAGTAATACAGACTGCTACAAAGAGCACATTTTAGTGAATTTGGGATGAGCACATAGCATCGCTCTCATATTATCCTGGGTCATTGCAAAGAGGCCACACAATCGTTAGACTTTTAGCATCAGATATTGTGTTGCTGCAACTCATTTTTACTTTGTTTACAACTTGATTTTTTTTTCTTTTATTCTCCAGCTCAT